TCTCCTAAATTTTGTCTAACCTTTCCGTGACATTAAAACGACGGGACTCCCACGCTGTGGCATTCAGATTTTATGTTGTATACATTTCGCAAAAAGGGGATCATAATGACGCATTGCTGACGTAGCGGCACCCCTCCGCCCTCCGCCACGAGGGCGATCGATAAATATACAGCCGGTGGATTCCTTTCTAGACGGGAATACAGCTTAGAATAAACTCAAAGATACTAGATAATCTACTACGCTTATATACGTAATATTACTTTAAATACACTTCCTGAACAATGAATTAATACATTAATTAAAACTCCAAGAAAGAACATCGTTTATAACATTAACAGTAGGTCCAAAGTTTGTTCTCGTTCTTAATAAAAAAAATGTTTGTCGAGACTCGAGTTGAGAAACCTTGTGTTAAACGTTGCTGTGTAAATAAACAGAGCCGTAATATATATGACGTAATTATATACGAGATACTTTAAATGACTCTAAAAATAATTAAAAGGATACATTTGTCAATTGTCACGTTTATAATATAGTATTCCATTCATATAACGCATACAATTTTGATTTGGTTTGACCGTATTTATAGTAGTTTGAAATTCAATTTTATTATGCAGGTAATGTATTAAATAAATTATCTTATTTGAATGAATTACGTGAAAATGTAAGGTTAAAAGCGTCTATTGCGACATGGTTGGAGATACCAAGCCTGAACTGTACATACGTCTTGAGTTAACGTTGTTTGTGAAAAGCTGCACGTGCTATGCTAATGAGATGATATATATACAAATGATAATAGTACATACAGACTATTATATTAACAACACAGTTGTACTACGAAAACGTTTTGAATCAAGAGCCAATGACTCAGTATTGCGTATTAAATTTGTCCAAAGCGTCTATAGTAAATGATTCGTTATTTCTAATTGAAGGCCTTAATTAAACTTTATTTATATACATTGAATACTTTACGTGTTTAGTTTGACGATTTGACAAAACATGTGGTAGGGAAAATATTGTTATGTGTGCAAGTACAGTCTATTTTCTAAATAAATGTATGAGATTTTCAATAGTTTATTCTTTTGTATACCTACTAAAGTTTGATATACGCATAGTATTTTAATGTACTCCCGATTTTTCCTATTAAGCCCTGAATGTTTTTTGTATTAAGTCTCTATTCAAAGCTCTATTCTCCAGCAAAAGTGTTAGTAAATTTAATTCCGAGTTTAAAAATAAAATTATTGACAGATAGAAAGATAAGGAAAACAACGATTTTGTAAAAAATTGTGCTGTTTTGTTAACGGAGTTTTTAAATCACACACACAAAAACTTAGCTATTTTTTTTTAACATATCTCTAACCGACGTTCAAAAATAGAGTAAGTTTCGCTTCCATATAATAAAAACAATATAATCACTCATGACTTAGCCAAATCGTATATTATTTCACTTTATGTATTCCATATTTTTTAATTTTGATATGTTTCGATAAATCTCTAACGTCATTGGGAACGGAAAATGTTAACCAATATTTCGTACAGCTTACATGAGTAAAGAAATATAATTTCTTTTAGACATCTTTTCATAAGTAGAATATTCTCTTAGTAATACCTGAATTTGAAAAATACTTTTCGAGATTCCAATTGTATAAGTATGATAATCTCTAATCTCTAGGCACATTAATATGTACAAGTCTTTGTGCTTACGTTATCCTTAGTACAAGTTTGTTACATTAAATACTAAATATTTCACGTTTCTCATTTAGTCTACGTTACTTACGAATGAAATACTATTAACATTCCTTATTTAGACGATCCAAACTCGTGGTAAGCGTACTTGTATTAATAATTAAATGTTGTTCATGTTAATGTCTCGTCTCCAAGTACATGTCGAGTTCTCCATTTAAATAGCATTAGTTTAGTTCCTGTGTCATATATCCTTATTCAGTAATATATCTCGTTTTGGTCATATTTCTCACTTCCCACTCGCCCTTATAAGTTTATGACAAACTGGTCAATAATACTTTGGGCATTTTGTTATACCTACGATCTCATAAAAATATTTGCGATCTATTACATAAAGCGCTTTATAGCAATGTTTATTCTGCACTTATAATTTTTTTATTCTATTTTAAAGATGTTTTAACATATTAATGTTAGAACCTTATCAAAATACTACTTATAGTTGCTAGTGTTATACCCTCGATGCAAAAAAATTATAAGTTTGACGTCAATGTATGTTTGTGTATAGCATCGTAGCTCTCAAACAAATCGAAAATTTTAATGAGTTTTTTTTTATTTGATAGCGATTTTTCTTATGGTGGTACTTAGTTGTGTTTTGTTAATATCGGTCCTGGAAAGTAAGAGCCCACCTCTTGTCCAAAATGATGTAAGAATTTTTTCCTATAATTATCCGATAGTCCTTTTAGTATGCCAATACATTCGATTAAGTTTTTTTTATGTAATAAACTGTTCATCATATATTCGGTAGACAAGAATAGTAAGTGATAAGTACAGAGTGCCCTTCGATTTGTATTATGTCGACGGAAATGTAGCGTGAAAGTTATTTTCTCAAGACTCCCGCGGCTCGGGCGAGACAACTTTCGCTGTGCCATCGTTACTGAACTGAACTCACTTACCGTCTAAGTCCAGAGATAGAGTCCCTATACATATAGAAACTCAATTTACATACAAAAACATATTAAATCGACCCTTTATAACTTGATAAATCAGTCAGCCAAAATATTGGTCTACTATAGTCTTGCTAGGGTGGGCACTAAAAAGCATTTGTATATTACCAATAAAAACTATACTGCTTTAACTACTAAAATATTATGAATGCGTAATTTTGTGAGGACGTATGTATGTTTGTTTCTCATTAACGCGAAAACTACTTAACTAATTTTGATGAAACTTTACAGTATTGTAAATAAGAGTTTAGAATAAAACATAGAGTGTAATTTATAGAAAAATTCAATTTATTTTTCACAGAATTACAGCTTTTCATGAAGACACTTAACACAGTCATACCATATATGCCGCTGACACTTGTTTAATTGTTACTATGAATGTATTGTTTTAACGCACTACACATTTTATTAGGAACTAAATTCCAAAGTCACAGACAGACACGCGATCAGAAACTAGTTTAATAAATATCAAATTTAATATTAATATGTCTATTTGTCGCTAAATCTCACAACTTGTAACTTATATCTCACGCTAACAATAGGACTTTGTAAGTCTGATTGTCTCTGAATCGATTTAGTTTCACCTTCTAGATAACTGACATATTTAACAAGCGATAAATTAATATCATACAGACGCTAGGCTGATATCGATTTGTTACACTGTTGAAGAATACATCTATTATTAATATTTGAATAGTATAAGAAGTTTTTGATTATAAAAAATAATAATCATATTTTGTTATATAATAATTCTTCTTCTTCTTTCTGGCAATTTCCCAGCTTAAGCCAGTTTCTGATTTACATGTTGTGAATAGTTTTGGCTTATTGTTTTTACGACCGGCCGCCTGCCTGACATCAACCCTCTTTGGGTCATCATTAATCAGTGATGTCTAAATACTCTCAGAAAGTACATATGATTCGGAAAAATCACATTCGTACTTGCCAGGGCCAGATCGAACCCTGTAATATAATAATTTTATAGTATTTATCTACCGACTAATTGGATTACTTTCGTCGTATTGACAAGATTTTGTTTACTGTATGCCTACCACAAGTTTGTACCGCCACATTACGTAAGAGGCGTTTACCGTTTCGAATTATGTGCGAGGATTTATTAATCAAAAACTGCAAACGTTTCGTAGAGTGTGAAAATGTAATGTGGTAAGCGTACTTAGATAATAATTCTTTAGGTATATCGAAAATTTTGATGTAGTTTGAGATGAAGGTATTTCATATTAAAAAAATAATAATGAAATTTGTCTTACACTTTGGTAATGTTGAATAAGTATAATAAAGGTATTTCTTAATAACACTTTCGTATCAAGAACAAAAAGTTATAATTATTATAAGGAGATGTTTTTCTTTAACCTTATGATAAATTGTAGACTTAAAATCTATTGGCATTTATTATCATACTTTCATTATTTAAAAATATAATCTGCCAGTTTAGTATTGGTAACATTGTTTGTTATGTTGCCAAAATCATATGACACTACTAAAATTAACGACCAATACGTAAACCCAATACTATACTGGCACAAAATATATGTCCAAATCACCTGTTAATTAAATAATAGGGATAATATAGGGGCTTATGGTTCGACGAGGACGCGTTATCAATTTGGGACAAGTTCGCCTCGTGCTGATGACCTTAGCTTCGACGTTGATCGTTTTGATTATATCGATGATTCACGGAAAACAAAACACTATATATATATTTTTTATAATTATTTAGATTTGATTCTTATATAAAAAATATGTATATTTGAATATGATTATGTAAATTTTATGTCTATATACTGTATATATAAATCTGCCCGCTATCATAATGATGCTAGAGATATAAATACAGTTTTTTTCCGTATTTTTTTACATATACATAAATTTATTATTTTTTTCTCACCTAACAGTTTCAATATACAGGGTGACTGGTGAATTACTATCTATACTTGAGGACGTGATATTTGACAATATATGACAAAATAAAAATTAATATAACATAAATATTAACAAACTTCTAAGTAAAGTTAACCAAAAGTTATGTAATTAATTACGCATCGTGTGAACACCCTACAGATTAGGTATACACACACACACACACACACTTGGAACACTTGGAACGTGTCCACACTTTATTTATTTATACGGAAATTTGGTCAAAAATTAAGTACCTATTTTTTTTACATAATTCGAATGAGAATCATGTACCGAGTATTCTCCTTAAATATTGATAGTAATTCACCAGTCACCCTGTATATAATATAATATCGTTAATTATAAAATATGTTATATTAAATTAAATAATTTATTTTACAGGAACAAAGCGATCGCTGATTACCTCAGCAGCAATGGTTACAACGACGCTCTGGAAGCGTTCAAGAAAGAGGCGGAGATGACCGGGGATGTGGATCGAAAGTTCGGTGGACTGCTGGAGAAGAAGTGGACATCCGTTATAAGGCTACAGAAGAAGGTAAGAAACATAACGCTTAGAAATACATACATTAAAGGTTAAAGTACTTGAAGTAGGAAATAACAGCTAAGACATAATACATCAATGAGCTGTGTTAGATTCATCATAATTATAACTTAAAGCAGTGCTGTAGTTTTAACACGAATAGAGAAGAAATGATTAAATTAGTATTTTTTTCTTTATAGCAAAAGTTTTCATTGATACTGACTATACTTTTATGTATACTAGCAATAAATGAATAAGACACCTTCGCAAAAGATTCCGAATTGTATGCCTAGTACAAGTTTGCATCGTAATACTACAAACGTATAGTTTCCAGTTCGTTATTCATATATCTATGCAAATTATAGTAATAACTAAAAACATATGTTGAATAAGAAAAAAACTCACTGTATGTAGTATGAGTTTGCAAACCTCTGGTAAGTATAGCGTAGTTCCTCGGATTAGGGAATTTAATAGAACAACTTAAATATACCCAAAAAATCATTTCATTATCTTTTAAAGTAAATGACGAAAAAAATGATCATAGTCAAAGTAATTTTAATTAAAATGATTAACTTTACATTCGAAAAATTTATGAAATGAAGGTAGGTACATTAAAATGAAAAGAAAGATCATAAGTAACTCCATATCACATTATTTTCAAATCAAGTATGTAATGTTATTATAAAAATAATTATTTGACCTCACCTCATCCTAGGTGATGTTAATTCTTTATGTCGTGTGAACCACTGAATCTTTATACAGAGACGTGTTAAACTAATTTACTTTGACGGCTAACAGTATCCTGTCTAGATAGATTAATCAATGATCGTACCAAAATAACACTATATACAAATATACAATAGCGTTTGACATGCGCGTTTATTTACACGCTGACGATAATTGTTACATTGTATTTTTATATATTTACTAGAAGACCCAGCGAACTTCGTATCGCTCTATAATCAAGAAATATCTGTTACGTTTTTTTATTTATATTTTTGGAGTTTACCTATTAAAGCCATAAATCTCCGTGTTTTGAAGTGCGACAGAATGATTGACATATTAGTTAGTTGTCAAATCTAATGTCAAAAAAAAACGTTTGTATGGGAAATAGAAAAGGGCTGTTTTTAGCGTCTTCCCGGAAATGAAATTTTTTTCAGCTTTTAAACCTTCCCTGAACCTCCACGATCATTTCAAGACTAAGATAAGATAAATCCGTTCAGCCGTTCTCGAATTTTAGTGAGACTAACGAACAGCAATTCATTTTTATATATATAGATAGTATATACTATATATACATTTATTGCGCAATAAATTTGTATTTGAGTCCAAAAACATCTCATACTGGCATAGAAGCTGCTCGGATCGATAGTGAAACTTCTAGGTCACAGATTTGTCGCACTGGCTCTAGCTAAGCTGGTCATGAACTCTTTTATGTTCTATACTATTCTATACATTAATGAGAACTATAGAAGTCGAGTCGTAATTATAATCTAGAATCTAGATGCTTATTTTAACTTGCTTTAAAGAACAAAACATTTTATTTTTAATTTCCTTTTATTTTATTCTTACTTCTTTTTATAATAATTTTATCAAGTACAGTATACGAGCAAGTTTTCGAATTATAAATTGATAGTAATAGTCTAAATTATTAAATGTATGTAGTAAAATACAAGTACATATCACAAAATTCATATACAAGTTAATGAATTATTCATATAGAACATATTAAAAATATATGTGAAAAAGTGAGATATTGACGCTTTTTATCTTAGCCAAAAATAATTTGAAAGACACACGTGGGTATGACGTAATATGGCAAAACGTAATAACTCATCACAAAGTGACTAATGTATACTTTAGAATCCCTACTAATATTATAAATGCGGAAGTAACTCTGTCTGTCTGTTACGCTATCACGTCTAAACCACTGAACTGATTTTAATGAAATTTGGTCCAGATATAGAGTTGACCTTGAGAAAGAACATAGGATAGTTTTTATCCCAGACTTTTGAAAGGTTCTCTTGGAAACGCGATATAATCGAACTCCACGCGGGCGAAGCTGCGGGCGGAAAGTTAGTCTTAAATAATTCTTGTATTCACTCTTTATGCTGTAATCGTTATGTCTATATTAAAATATTTATTAAACTATCGAATAATTGTTATATAACGTAAAACTATATTACATCTCCAGGTGATGGAATTGGAGTCGAAGTTATCTGAGGCTCAGAAGGAGTATATAGAGGGTGCTCCGACACGGGCCAAGCGCACGCCCACCGAGTGGATACCACGACCGCCGGAGAAGTTCTCACTCACTGGACACCGGGCGACTATTACTAAGGTATCATATGTAATATATACTACCATATAAGGCAGACCCTGGCTAACCCTGGGAGACCCTGGCTAAACCTGGTAGACCCTGGCTAAAGCTGGGATATTGCCTGGAAGAAGAAGATATACTACCACATGTATATACTAGTTTTAGAAACACACTTTTCTCCCGTTGCCTTTAATTCAGTCTTTGAAAAATGAATCAAATGTATTCAAGATATAGTTATGACAGCCAACCGCCAGCGACATCTATAGTCTGTGTGACGTGACTACGTATATTGTCTTAATCTAATGCCTATGATCGCTGTAAAGTTTCATCAAATTCTGTTAGATTTTTTTGTATAATATTTGAATTAAAATGACGTTTTTCCAGTCATTCAAATCGTGCTCGGATCGATAAATCTATCACTCTATATTTTTTATTCGAATTTCAACTCACGTTTTATATTTATTCTGATATTTTTTTTAATAAGGAAACTTTATTATATTTACAGGAAAATCATAGAATAATAATCTTTTAGTCGTAGACATTCAAGTTAATTGATATCTTCCTAAGTATAATACATTTGTGAATATATGACTTAGGAAGATATTGATATATTACTAAAATTGGACAATACACAAGTTAATTCCATTACTTAAAAGGGACTCCCTAGCTGTATCTATTGTATATAGGTATAAGTTACAGAAATAATTTTTTTTTTTTGTGAATGTATTTATAATATAACTTTTATGATCCACAGGTGATATTCCACCCGTTGTTCAGCTTGTTCGTGTCTTCAAGCGAGGACGCCACGATCAAAGTGTGGGACTTCGAGAACGGGGACTACGAACGAACCCTAAAGGGTCACACGGACTCCGTACAGGATATAGCGTTCGACCAGCACGGGAAAGTGCTGGGTGAGACACATTACATATATATAACATATAGAATATATTATACTCATAAGAAATATCAGTATCATCAGCCTATTAAAATCTACCGCTGAGCAAAGACCTCTTCTAATATGGGGAAGGTTCAAATAAAAAACTAGCTATTTAGTTTTTATAGCCAAAATCACATTAATAATTAGCCACAATAGCTATGTTATATAATCATAAACATCAGCCTATCAGAGCCCACTGCTGAGCAAAGGCCTCTTCTCCACCATGCTTTCTCAAGACGGGTTGGCGATTTGAAAATTAAAATTTGAAGTTATTAGTCCAGATTTCCTCACGATGTCTCCTTTAACCGTCTGTCAGTGGTGTCTAAATACTCTTAGAAAGTACATATGACTTGGAAAATTTTTATTGGTACTTGCCAGGTTTCGAACCCTCGCCCTAAACCACCACGAATTCTATGAAATATTTGTATGAAATATATTTTTTAATATCTATGAACCGATACATATAAATATATGTATTTCACCAATGGCAATATCCAAGTAAGGGAACATTAAACTCTTCCCATTGTTTTTTCTTAGGATCTATGTTCCTTAAATTCATATTAGGATATACTCTCAGTGACAATACATATAAATAATTTTAAAAATACAAATATTACTTTATTAGATCAGTACGTAATATCGTGTTTTTTTTTATCAAAAATCCTGTGTATTCTCTCGGGAACTACACTGAATTAGGATAATAATTATATGAATATACTTGTTAGATCCCATCCTCGTCGCCACTGTTAGATACGCGGATAGGGTCGGACAAATGAAAGGATCGCTGGCTAAACACGCACTGCTCTATTGAACAATTATTACAATATATATATGGGTGGTCGCGCCACGCCCGAACTAATTATTTATACATACCTACATATGTAACAATACTATATAGTTATTGTTATTATATAACATACAGTCAGTGATGGTCTAGTGGTTAAAAGGCCCGCCTCTCAAGCACGAGGGCGCGGGTTCGATCCTGGCAAGAACCAATGTGATTTTTCCAAGTCATATGTACTTTAGTCATCACTGATTAATGCATTCCCAAAGACAGTTGATGTCAGGCAGGCGGCCGGTCGTAAAAACAATTAGCCTAAACTATTCACAACATGTAAGGTAGACCCTGACTAAAGTTGTCAAATTGCCAGGTAGAAGAAGAAGATTATATAACATAAAGAAGAATTTTAGTAAAATATTTCATAGTAGTCTTGTTTGAATGAGTATCAGTAATGAACTTCCTACCTATATATAAACCAAAATGTCCATCCTGCTAATATTATAAATGCGAAAGTAACTCTGTCTGTTACGCTTTCACGCCTAAACCACTGAACTGATTTTAATGAATTTTGGTACAGAGATAGAGTTGACCTTGAGAAAGAACATAGGATAGTTTTTATTCCAGACTTTTGAGAGGTTTTCTTGGAAACGCTATATAACTGAACTCCACGTGGGCGAAGCTGCGGTCGGAAAGCTAGTAATATAATATAACGTTCGTTTCCCAGCATCCTGCAGCGCGGACATGTCCATAAAGCTGTGGGACTTCAACCAGAGCCACGAGTGTATAAAGACGATGCACGGCCACGACCACAACGTGTCCTCGGTGGCCTTCTCGCCCGGCGGAGACATCGTGTACTCGGCCAGCAGGGACAAGACCATCAAGGCCTGGGAGGTCGCCACGGGGTGAGAATCACACACACACACACACACATACACTCGTACTCACTCACTCTCACTTACTCTCGCTCACTCTCACTCACACACACACACAGCGTATTACATATAGATGTGTACATACTCGATCACTTGTGTTGTTTGTTATTAATGAAATGAATGTAATATAAAAATGTTTTTTAAGACCCAGTTTCACCAATCAATGTTTGTTTAATCTAATCACAGCATTTACTAACAAACCTTCAAAATTATAAATGTCTGTTAAAATATTTACGTCCCACGATGACAAATTAACATCGCATTATTAAACGTCATGTCAAATGACCGACTACCAAATTATTCGTTCTTGTTATAAGACGACCAAGTGGAAACTATAGCATTTAACACGGCGCTTTTGCCACGATGCACCACTTTATACATTGATCGTATATATCCCTCGATACGTCACTTGTTAGGTAATGCGACCAAATTTTATATATCGTTGGTTGCATACATTTGGCACACAAAAAGCTTTCTTTTCAATTTACTCGGTGTAACCTGTCAAAATCGGGTTGTCAATAAATTGTGTTATACAGGGTGACTGGTGAATTACTATCAATATTTAAGGAGAATACTCGGTGCATGATTCTCATTCGAATTATGTAAAAAAAATAGGTACTTAATTTTTGACAAAATTTCCGTATAAATAAATAAATTGTGGACACGTTCCAAGTGTGGACGCGTGCGGCGGCGTGCTGATACAACACCTCGCCGCCGCGCGCGAGTGTGTGTGTGTATGTGTATACCTAATCTGTAGGGTGTTCACACGATGCGTAATGCGTAATTACATAACTTTTGGTTAACGTTACTTAGAAGTTTATTAATATTTATGTTATATTCATTTTTATTTTGTCATATATGATCGTCAAATATCACGTCCTCAAGTATCGATAGTAATTCACCAGTCACTCTGTATATTATTGTTATTAATATAGGCATATATTGTGTTCAAATTATAAGAGATAAAAAGAAAATTTAATTTGCAATGTTATAAAAAAGTTGTATGCAAAATCATCATAGGAAATGAAATTTTAATTCACTTTATTAATAAGTACAAGGAAATAGTCGCAACTGACAAAACAGATGACGTTACTATGGTTACAAAAAATCAGGGCTGTGATTGGACAATTGAGTTTTGACAATGCCATTAACATTGGGTTAGTCATTTGGCCGACCGCTAGAGCAGGAATTAATATTAGTGGCTGGTTAAGACATTTAAACGGACATTTGTGCGTGGTGGGACGCTCGATACATCTAACAGAGCATCAAACGCCTTAACACGATGTTACTTATTTAACCATGATTGGTGAAACTGGGTCTAAATTTATTTTTATATGTAGGACATGACATTTAAAAAAATATGTGTTTATGTGAATATGGAACTATTATCACTGTATAAAATTATCAATCACCGAATTCACCAGTACGTAGCTGGTAATGAGTTTTGCTACTAGTAATCATCAAATACAATAAATTAATAACCAATCAATTTGAATAATTATTACTAGCAACCATTTTAAATACAAATTCACTCTTATCATTGTTATTTATTATTTAATATAATTTCCAGATACTGCGTAAAGACGTACAAGGGTCACCGCGAGTGGGTGAGGATGGTCCGCGTATCAGCTGACGGGAAGCTGCTCGCCTCATGCTCCAACGATCAGACTGTACGCATATGGAACGCTGAGACTAACGAATGCAAGGTAACATATACCACTAGAACCATTTAACCATTTATTTGCTACTAGGGAATGCAATCTCGAGGCGAGATCGCAAATTCGGGATCTCGCGAGATCAGAAATGTCAATCACACGAGATCTCGGGAATTTCGAGATCTCGTGAGATGCTTATGTGCTGTCAGACATACGACACCTTATTCAATCTCGGCCGAGATCTCGTCATTTTATGCTTCGAGATTAATCTCGAAAAATAAGGCGACATCCCGCGAGATCGAGATTGCATTCCCTATTTGCTACATACATACATTACATAGATTATACAGAAAATAATAAAATTTAAAGAATACAGTGTAGGAGCAACGGGTTCATCTCAGTTTAAGCTGTGCTAATTCACAGCACTGATTTTCAGTTGGCCCCTGAAAATTTTTTTCATTAGCAACTATAACACACGTAACTACATTAATATGATAAGTGTGACTATTCTTCTTCTTCCTGGTAATTTCCCAGCTTTAGCCAGGGTCTGCCTTCCTACTTAAACTCCTCCACTTTGCACGGTCTTTGGCAATTATAAGTATGACCATTAAAAAAATGGTAAATGGTGTGGTAAATATTAGTGAGCGAGTTATGAGAATTTATTGGAAGATTTTAATGTATATGACGATTGAATTGCTAAAAACAAGTGTTAAAATTCCAATAGGTTTTACTGTTTTATAAATATTAATAGTATTAAGGTATTGTATTGTATTTGTTGTGTGAAAGTGAATGCTAACCTTACACACATGCATATGTTTATAAATCAAGGGTTCGACCTCTATTGATTAATCAAAAATGAAATTTTTTCTATCATCAAAATATTAATTAAATATTCAAAGTCAACTACATCGAAGATTTTAGTTATTAATAAAATGATATTAGCAAAACCAAACTTAAATAATTATACACTGAAAAAAAATTTTCCATTATTCTAAACTTATATTAGCAAACGAATATTAGAACACCACATCCTACTAATATTGTAATTGTGAAAGTTTGTGAGTGTGTGTGTATGTTTGTTACTTCTTCACGCTCAAACGGCTGAACCGATTTTGATAAAATTTTGTATACATCAAGCTGACGTCCAGGAATAACATAGGCTACTTTACATCCCGGAATTCCGCGGGTAACACCTAGTAAAGAAATATTTTTTTTTTATAAAATAATTGTAATATATTCAGATGGAGTTACGTGAGCACGAGCATGTAGTGGAATGCGTTTCGTGGGCGCCAGAGACAGCGGCCGCTGCAATCAACGAAGCGGCCGGAGGAGACAACCGCCGCGCGGCATACCACGGACCATTCCTCGCTAGCGGCTCTAGGGATAAATCCGTTAAGGTACAAACATACAAACATCACAATGATATTATGAACCAGCCTTCCCAAAGTAAGTGTAATGATAATGATACTATGAACCAACCTTCCCAAAATGGACGGCAACAATTCATTGTGAGTGCTCCAAGTCTATACGGAGCGGTGAGAGAAACACCAGAAAAATTTTGATGTTGTGTAGAGACTAGACTCTGATTTGTAATTTGATACATACAAACATCACGATGATACTATGAGCCAACCTTCCCAAAATGGACGGCAAAAATTCATTGTGAGCGCTCCTAGTCTATACGGAGCGGTGAAACACCAGAAAAATTGTGACCTTGTGTAGACTAGCCTCTGATTTGTAATTTGATGTGGCTCGGTTTAAAGAGGGGGGATGAAAAGCAATTTATTCACAAAGTGTCCACCAATTAAAATTAATCTGGGAACCGCTGCTATTAAATAATATTAAATGCTAACATCATTTTCGGTTTGTTTTAGAAATGTAATGAATTACTGCTTTCTACATCTTAAAGATCCCTCTGTTTCTAATATAAGTGTTTTTAAAGATAGAACTGGATGTAGTTAGGGCGGAACCCGCTCAACACCCGTCCACTGATTCCGTCGAAGTGAATGAAAACTATTGTGTATATATATATTTGTATAATAGGATTGTAATAATAAAATGTTGAGTCCTCTCTGTTAAGTTAATCCTCTAACATAAATATCAACTTAAGCATCTAAAACCTACATAACGTGTCGACCAGTAATCATGATCCTCCATATAAGTGTAAACCATACAATTTCCTCAGATCTGGGATGTAACGACGGGTCAATGCCTGGTGACGCTGGTCGGTCACGACAACTGGGTGCGAGGCGCCGCGTGGCACCCCGGCGGCCGGTACCTACTGACCGCCTCCGATGACAAGACGCTACGTGTGTGGGACGTCGCTCACACGCGCTGTCTCAAGACGCTCTACGCTCACACACACTTCGCTACCAGCCTTGGTCAGTAACAACGAATACTCAGTACTGCATATATAACCCTCAGGGGCCGTTCAAGTATTACTTAAGCACTATGGAGAGGAGGGGTCTTTGCTTTGATTATTTTGGATGACATGGGGGTTAGGGGAGTCTAGATGATGATTATGTCATCGGTAGTTTTTTACTTTTTTATCGTCACATCGAGAAGATGGGGGAGGGGGTAAGAGCTTTGCTTACTTTTGCTGACAAGGGGGATGGGGGGGTAAAAAATTGTAATCAATCTGCTTACGTAATACTTGAACGGCCCCTCACACAAACAATATAATACTGGATATGCTCAAGTAAAATCAAACTTGTAAATGTATTGATATAATTTGGACGACCTATATGCATTACCTTTTGATACTCTGTGAGCTTTTAAATTTCAATGAACTATTTTATTTACACTACTTGAAACTTAATGATTCTCTAACACTTTGATCTTAATAATAATAAAGATTGTCAGTTTAGCAGTTGTGGAATATATTTAAAAATACCGATTTTCTTTGACACGACACTAATATAAGAAATCATAAATATATGAATGATTTTCAGTATCGAATGTATTAAAATTGCTTGTATTTTTTTCAGATTTCCACAAGAACTTGCCATATGTGATATCCGGCAGCGTCGATCAGACCGTCAAAGTTTGGGAGTGTCGCTAGGAACATTGCCATTGTAGTAACTTAAACTCACCGATGCTATATGTATCATTATAATTCACGTTTAATAGAACCGCATACAGAGCAATTTGATTTTTATTTTAATTGCGATTTGTTTTTAAAGAAATGGGAAATAATTTTGATAATATATATCATTTCTTCCTTTCAGTTCATTTCTGGTATGAGAGTGCTATGTCCATATTGTACGTGAACGGAATTAAAAACACATTCCATTTAAACTATACATCATAGATATACGTTTATAATTTTTTGTTCATCCTGATCTTATAATTACCTTAAATTAAAATATACGGCGTAGCATCAAACTCTACCGTGACGAACAATGAAGTGAGGAGTTAAAGCTGTGTTATAATTTAACATTTCATAATTCTATTTTATTTTATAGTAATTTTTTATCCTTAGAGATGTTTAGATGTAACTTTATTTTGGTATGGATAGTTAAATGTTTTCTAACCGGTCCGCTCTTTAAATCGTACCTTAACTAAACATTAATGATATTTAGTTAATATTAATATTGTAATACATGACAAACATCCGGGTTATGGTCATTTTATTTGGTAAACTAAAATCTTGTATATAATGGCGTCTTATTGTTTCTCTCCATTCGATTTATCCTCATTGTGTTTGTTCGCTCAGCTAACAACATCAATGGATGTATGTAACGATTATTGAAGGTTATATATTAATAATTATAATTTATCCGCAATACATGTGAACTCGGTCGAGACGTACGCTTTGTTTTTAAACGATATCGCAGTCGTGTAAGGACTTATTTTAAGTTTTGTCAAATCAAAACTTTAACTATAAGTTAGAGTGTTATATTTTAAAGATTTTTTTTTTTACTATTTATTTCAGTGTTTTAATTTGAATGTCTCAAATGAAAAAAAAAATGTTTTATTAGCTAGTGCTTTAAATTAAATTACCGTTTAAGTGATTTATTTTGCAATAGTATATCATATAATAAATACCCTTATATCGATTTTAAGTTGTTTGAATTAAATCATACTAGTTGTGTACGTAATGGAAGTGTGTGATATGTATGTTATAATTTTTTATTATTATTATTACTACGCTGTTTGTGGTAGCTAGGTTCAATGATGGCTGCATCTAGTTATTTATTAGTACCGCGGTAATATCGCGCCCGGTATAACTAGATTATAGTTGTTAGTGTGAAGTATTGTCATACTCTAAGCTTTGCAGTGCTTGCACGCCAAAATATGTATTAATGGGGTCTGTTTATACCATGCTAGGTAGCGTTTGTTGTTTATAATGAACATTTACAGCATGTGAGATAATTACATAGCATGGTAATGCATGATCATTTGCTTTATTGATGTAGATTACTAGCGACATCAAGGAGGTTATATAATTGATTGGTATAAAACATATATGTATGTAGTCACTCTTATTATATTCTATTCATTAATGAGTTATTTAATCTGTGGCATTTTAGAAGGGTTTCATCGTATTTGTTTTGCGTTAGGAATGCATTAAAAAGTTTACACATATATAATCTCCTTGGTTTCAAATGGAAGTCATTTTTCAAGCTTGAAAAGAAATTGTATGTTAAAATAAGAAGTTTGTACTACGGTTATCAATATAAAATAGTATTTGCACTAGTATCAGGATTTTTCTTATATAACAAAATAAAAATGTATCAACAACAAATCCTCTCGCTTGTACACTCAATAATCTCGATCTTTAGGGGACATTTATCATTGAGGATTTTTGTGTATGCCCATTTAACTTCTGTATTTTGTCTAAATTTATATAGAAAATCAACTACCAAAACTCAATAGAATTTGGTCTAATATTTTCTGTAAATAAATTAATAAAATATGTAATTTAAGGAGTGTTTTTTTTTTTACTACATAATGAGACAACCCATCCTCTTAGAATAAATGGCAACAAAGATTCCAGATCAGACTAGGTGTGAAATAAAATTAACTTGTAAATGTTGTTAATATAAATCAACTTCTTTGATGATAAATATTTTTTTATTAATGCTTAAAAAATGGTTGCTACATCAGTTTTTTTATTTTACAGTTTTAATGCAATACCTTATATTGTCATTCTATATAGCATTTTTATATTATTTTATAGTTACAATAACAAGAATATATTTTTCTTATATTAAACGACAGCTTCATTCATACCGGAATCCTGGAATATTGATGAAAATGGTGCATGACACAAACAATTCTACCTCAAGTAAAAATCTTTACATTACACTACTCATTACATTAATGCAGGGCAACCCTATAACATGTAGTGGCAAATTCCTGTTTTTGGGTTCTATGACTTGTCACAATAAAATCAATATTTTTGAAGACATGAATTCTTGATCCATGAAAAAAAGAGTGAAAACTAAACATAGGTATTTCTTAACAGAATGGTTTATCTTTATGTTCAAAAATGTACTTTATATCCCGGTTTTTAAATGTTAATTTCACATGCTTATTGATACTTATTAAATTATAATTAAAAGTAAATACTTATACAAATTATAGAGAGTAATGATATTTTGAATTAATGTTTGAAAAAATATAGCATTTGTTGAACGAATATGAGCAAGTTATAGAATAAATAGAATACTTTTTCATTGCCTTGTATTAGATTCTTTTTGTTACTTATAAAACAGTGTGTCACAGTGACACAACTCACAAGGCTTATAAAGTACACCACAAAATTCGATGATTACTTTTTTTCTCCTAAAAAATGTATAATTTTCAGATTGTTTTAAAATACATGCATGTACAAGGTGCGGACTTTTATTGTTACAGTTTTATTTATTCCTTATAATTAAATACTTTTCACTTTGATCTTATGCAAATTAATTTACATATTACAATTTTCAAATACTGATAGTCGCAAAAGAGAAACTTCAAAATGGACTGAAGTGTTAATATCTTTGGTTTTAGGTATCGACAAATTACTCGATAAATTAAAAAATAATTGAACGATTCTTAGTAAAATGAAAGTATAAATGAAACTATTTCAACTGAAAATGATACATAAAGTAAATACAAATTTTAACTTCGTTTATTGCCCAAAAAGTTTTATAACAAAATTCTGTGTGTGTAATCAAAGATAATTTGTCAATTATTTTCTGAATGTTATTTTGCCTCTCATATCATAACTATAATAAACATTACAAAGCCATAGTATTAAAAAGAGCGATAATAAAAATTATATTTTTATCGACTATTAATATACTCGAAGGAACTATGATTCTTTTCTACCAAAATATCGATGTGTCATTCGGGTAATCGATATCTATACTAAGTCAACTCTAAGCAGTAAGCATTGCGTTTTTGAGTTGTGAGACATTTTACCGAATAGACACTTCGTTTCTTTAGTGCATACTGTGAGCATTCGATATTCCTGTGATCAAATTTTATATTAAAAATTGAGAGAATCGCGATGTTACATTGCTTAAGCTGGATAGTATATCGTTGAAAGTGTAATTTTCACAGTTTGTAACATATAATACGAAAATGGATATCGAAGAGTGTCTTAAAGAGTGGGAAGATTTATTAGCCGACTACAAACGATTAGAGGTAAAATATTTTATTTTCAACTGAAATGTTTTTCGGAACTTGTAACAAAATAACTAAATTGTAAGTCTATAATCCATATTACACAATAATATTTATGAAATATTGTATGTCACCTGGGCTGTTTTACAATTTAAATTTTGCCCCAAATATATTACTCACGTGTTTACAGACGGTTAACAAGGAATATGCCACTAAATTAGAGGAAGTAGGTGAGCTGCAGGCATCATGTTTGAAGGAGTTGACCCACCAGCGTTATCGGATGTCCATTATAACTGGCACCCTCAAAAGGTCAGATGAAATCTTTATATCAGACATAGTTCATTAACTAATTTCTATTAACTTTTTTTGAAATGTTATTATCATACATTACATTTCTACTATGAGAATCTTTTATTGTTTTGGCTTAAAATAACTTTATATATACAGTTTTTGAATTAATTTTATTATTATAAAATACATACAGTATATGATAATTAGTCTTTTTAATATTATATGGATAAATCTGTGTATAATAACATGTATATCTATACTTTCGCAATGTTAATCAGCTTTTTTCATGTAATTTGTATTTTATGGACATTAGACAAAAAACATCGAAGATTCAATAAGAAAAAAATCCACATATTAAACAATTGGAGATCAAAAGTAATTCTGGCATATTCGAGTAATGACTTTAAATTTAAATCTTTAATCAAAAGATTGATGATGACAATATCACATTTATTTACGAACTTATCAGAGGTTGATATACATTGATTTGTAAAGTCAAATCAATGTTAGGTCATTTGCAGATAAACCTTATCAGTTACTTACTTCTATCCATTTAAACACTGCTGTTTAGATTGTTATGCAAATAATAGAGAAAAAACCTTATGTTAGTTTAAGGAATTATATATTATGTATATATAATTAATATTAATTACGGGCCACTAAATAATAAATTTGAAAAGTATTTGTATAATAAAATACTTCTGAGCTCCTTCATTTTAGACAAATATGGAATGAAAAGTAACTCATTTGATATTTCATTATGGGATAGTAATATTTAATTAAAATACAAGTATTATGCCAAATATATGTACATATATCGACTGGGGAGTTGTCTATAAGCCTAATGTAGAAAATTCTCTTAAAAGTAACCATTACTTTCTCCACACAAAATATTAACATATATCTGATAATAACATGTTATATAAAATAATTTTAAATCTTTCAGGAAATTTGTATAGTGATTGTGTAATTTGTTTAATAATTGGTTTTTGTACTTTGACCCTTGATATACTATCAATGAATACACCTTTTATCAAAGGATTAAAATGGCCAATGTAATTATAGTCTTATGTTATGATTTTATGAAAAATATATATATTTATATATAAAAGTATGTTATGAGAAATGAACTGAATGATTTTGGCTGTAGCCCAAATGTAGTATTCAACTTTTTAATTAAATGTTCAACAATGGTTCATAAGAGGTTCATTATTGAGTGGATCAAAAATAATTAGATTTTAAAGTTCAAGGTTCTGTAATAGCAATAAAAATAGTTTTTTTTTTATCAGTTTCACAGTTTATGCTGTTTATGAAATCTGATAGTCAGCGACTTATTGCAATAACAAGTCAAGATCACATTCTTGTTTATGCTAAATCTACATCATCATAGCTCTTAATAGATAATGTTCCTACAAATATATGATCAATCATAAAATTAATTAGAAAATTACTTTGTTATTTACTTTTCTAAGAAAAATATTATTATTTCATGCATAACTATATTTTTTCTCTTTCAATAATCATGTGTTTGGTACTAAAGGCAAGTTATTTTATTAGCCTGTTTACCTCCATACCTAATTATAATGGGTTAAGTCATGAATACTAAACAGATGTTAGAACATTTACAATATGTTAATATAGGTTCTTATTACTAATTATTATTAGCAAAAAAACAATGATTTATTCCTATACATACAGTAATATAATATTATTTGTAAATACATAAATAGACAAATAAAGATATTTTTTAGATTGGAGAAAAAAGGTGTGACAAAGGATGAACGCATAGCGAATTTAGAAAAGGAAATAATGAAGAGAAAAGCGATGCTTCATGAAATTGAGGCGACCCTACCTAAACAGAACAGCCTGTATCTCAAGATCATACTAGGCAATGTTAATGTATCAATACTCAATAAAAATGACAAGTAAGTAGATATTGCTATTTAAGTTGTGCCAACATAAAACAGATATAAAAAGAAATTGGACAAGTAAGTAGATATTGTTATGTATTTAAGTAGTACCAACATTTAAAACAGATTTTTAAAAAAATGTATGAGCTCAATTTTTAAATGTTTTATCATTCAGGATATAATCGAAAGTTATGTATATCATAACAGAAACAAAAATCTTTTTTATCTTTTAAATTTGGTGGAAATAAAAAAATCATATGTCAGATATGATTTTTATTATTTAATTTTTTAATATAAATAATCTAAAATGATTTTAATCTATTTTAATTATAACCAGTCACTGTTGTGATATCACAAAACCTTAATTTCATATTTATACTAGCTGACCCGGCAGTCTTCGTACTGCCTCAATCAAGAAATAAATTATGTCTTATTTATTTTTAAGTTTGTAATCAACAAATAAAAAATAGGGGTTGATCGTAGAGGGGTGAAAAATTTAGAGTAATATGAGATTTTTTATTGTAATTCATCAAAAAATAAAAAAAAAAATTGACAAAAAATTAAAGTTTTTAATTAACAAATAAAAAATAAGGGTTGTTCTCAGAGGGGTGAAAATTTAGGGTTGTATGTATTTTTGTAGGCTGTGTCATAAAAAAATAAAAACAAAAAATTTTGCCTAAAAAATAAAAACAAAAATTTAGGGGTGGACTTCCCTTAACATTTAGGGGGATGAAAATAGATGTTGGCCGATTCTACCCTCTGGTTAGTATCCTCGATAAGGATCACGAAAATCGGTCGAGCGGTTTCGGAGGAGTTCAAGATCGAACACCGTGACACGAGAATTTTATATATTAGATATATTTTTTTATTGATCGGAATGATAGTCACTTGTTGCTTTAAACTATTTAGATAAAATGAAAATTACATATTATAATATATTAAAAATTGGATGAAAATCCCAACTTCATTATTTTTGGGATTTAAAAATTTTACTACATAATAATCTTGTGTAAATTTTTTACGAGTTCAAGATAAATAAATAATACTAGGAATAATAATTTATCACTTCAATAAATGACTCACTGTCAGATATTTTGTGTTTTACGTATATGTATTTTTTGTTTCAGGTTTAAATACAAAGATGAATATGAAAAGTTTAAATTGATACTCAGCGCTATCGCCTTTGTTCTAGCTGTCGCCAACTTATTAATCGACTTTAGGTGAGTGGATGTCATTTTTCTATTTTAATGATGACAGTCTCACATTACAATAGAGTACAAAACTTAATATTGTATATAATGAATTTTATATATCTGTTAAAAATATTAAAATAAGATTATTTTTCTTTACATTTTTATGTCTCTTGTACCTGTGTTATCTTAGTTTTGTAGTTGAGTGACAAAGAAAACTATTTTTTTTTTATAGTTAATTCATTTAAATTTCTCATTTAAACGGCAATATGTAGTAAAATAATCTTTTGTATTATGGCTCGTGAGACATTATTTATAAATAAAGTATACTGTTAATGCGACAACGCAATATTTGCTAATAGTATTTGACACTGCGAACGGAATATTAAAATGTAAATCACCTATTATGAGGAAGTAGCGTTGTTTTAAGATCTTTGTTCAAGTACGATTTTTTTTGTCATTGTGACATCACTATTGTTTTTTATTATCTATATCCTATCCGTCCCCTCGTAGAACAATAGCGGAAGACATCTTTAATCAAATGCAGATTGCATCGTTTAAATTGAAATACGCGCTACTTTTCAATGACCTTGTAATACGAGTGTAATGTACAAAAAAGTAGAATGCTAAAATTATTGTTATTAGGAATATTAATAACTTGCATCCTAAACCATAGAAATTAATAGGAATATGTGGTCAAAATTAAATCGTAATTTTGTATGTTTAATAAAATTTTCTCGAAAAGAACGTCATTGTACATTTATTATTAAAAAACCTTGAAGTTATCGTTAATTAGATTAACTCAGCCAAATGTACTAATTTTGTAGGTGACCTATGTGAATACGTTCTCTGAAACGTGTTGCCCGTTTAAAAAATATTACATGGGAAACTGAACTTCAACCCGTGAAATTATGTACGGTAGAAATACGAATGATTTTTGAACTTATTCCGACTCTTTGAAACAGTTGAAAAAATATTTATATCATTTTCATATATTTAAATAGTTATTATCGTTCAGCTCAATGCTAACTTTAATTAAAGGGAAATTTAATAATTAAAAATTCAAATATGTTCAGCTACCATGATAAACATTCATTACGTTCAAATATAAGAAATTTAAAAACACATCCAAAAGTTGTATGAGACTTGTGTTTTTTTTTCAAGTGTGTTGACCTTCGTTTATCAATTTTATCATACATTAGTCTAGACAAAATAAAGTTTTTTTTCAATGAGTTATCGTACAAACAAAATGTCCATGATCTTTTGTCGTATAATTATTGCTAGTAACAGTTGGTTAGGTAGAGAGAGGAGCTTGGATGGTGGAGGTGAGCGTTTAACGCGCGTTAGATAGGGGCCCCTTAAACCTACACCTGGGTCGCAAGTCCCAGGCACTGTTGAAGCTCCTCTCCCTACAACGATGGACCCGGCACCCGCACAGTAAATCCATGGAAGGCTAAGAGGTTTCGCCTCATATGGTGTTAACTTTATATAATATATTCCAGGCCTTTACAACTGATCCTGATATTCCTGTTAGTATGGTACTACTGCACTCTGACTATCCGGGAGAGCATTTTAAAGGTGAACGGATCCCGGATCAAGGGTTGGTGGAGGCTACACCACTTCATATCCACAGTGGTAGCCGGTATCTTACTCATATGGCCACAGAACGAACCCTGGGATGAATTCAGACATACATTTATGTGGTTCATAGCATACATAAGTAAGTCATAATACTCAATATATTAAGATTAGATAAAGTTTGTTACTATTTATTGGTGTTTTAATGATAATTACTGAACTTATAATGTATTATACTAATTCATTTAAACTTATTTGTATGGAATCTTCTATGAAAATTTAATTATAAATAAAAATATAAAATTTTGATATTATTCAACAATTAATTATATTTCAATATTCTAAATGTTCATTCTTAATGTGATTTTTTTCCAGGTGTGGTTCAATATATGCAGTTCAGATATCAAAGCGGTGTACTGTATCGTCTGAAGGCTTTGGGTGCTCGTCATAACATGGATATAACTATTGAAGGATTCCACTCGTGGATGTGGCGTGGTCTGTCATACTTGCTGCCTTTCCTCTTCGGTGGATACATATTCCAGCTATACATAGCTTACACTCTATATCATATCAGTTATCATCCCGAAGCTACGTGGCAGGTATGTGGACTATATTTTCATATTATTTATTACATTCCAAACAATTGTGCTTTGATGAGAGATGTGTGGAATGTTGAAAAAGTTATTGTTAATCATATAAGTGATGAGATCTAAGGCTTTGTGAGTATTAATTTATTTCAAATCTCGTCTGCCAGTGATCATGTTTGCTGGAAAATAATTTTACAACAGGAACCAAGCGCAGTTTAATCTGAAAAATATTAGTTTCATTCAACATAACTTTTAAATAAAGTATAGTCTTGTTAAGGCCGGCGACGCACTCTGGTGCCTTTTGGCTCGAGTGTTCATGGGCAGCGATGATCATCTACCGTCGGATGGCTAGCCTGCTCGTTTGCCCCCTATTTTATAAAAAAAAGTATAATATATTTTATTTAAATGCTTTCTTCATTGAGTTTTAATAGCATATTTTAAATTCTATATCTTCTGTCACATCTCTCATCTATAAACTTATCTATAACAGATAATGTATAATGTTCTTACCAGTGTGTTTATTATGTTTAATACAAATAAAAAGCAAATTTCACTAAACAAAAACAAACAGGTGCCAGCATTAAGTATGTCGTTCCTGTTGATCGGTATCGGTAATACAGCGACCACACTCATTGTGATCCCGCAGAAGTTGAACGAACAGGTACATGACAGCTGATGAGAAAAACACCTTGATATATACACATAGAATAATGTAGAACGTTGTTTAGTACGGGGTCTTAATAAGGTTGAGGTCTATGCAGGTTTCGTTTAAGTGGCATTTATTTATTTTTTATCTGTCAAGCTTGTTATAATCTGTGAGCTAATAAAATAAAGACTTTGCATTTGACGTTTGTATCTTAGTTTGTTCTAATGTTTTTTGTAATACAATGAAATGTCATATCTACGAGTGCATCGCAATTATTCGATTATGAATTGCTTCATAATGTATACAATAGTTTTTTTATGGACCAATATGATATATGTATTTTAAATAAGCATGTTATGTAGCTTGTAGCTACCTTTTATTTTTTCGCAGCTTTACCAGATTATATAAATCAAGATTGAGGTTGTGATATGCGGTTTTTTAATATAGAAGCATCTCTTTGTATTGTATGCTTTTGATTTTTTTAAATACTTTGGTTGTTTTTACTGCCTTAGATGTATACACCTTTACAATTTTTAATTCGCAACACCAATCTAGTCGTTACTTCAACGAATTTCTTTTGTTTTTTTGTTTATTAATTATTATTGAATTATGTTTACACATCATGAGGATTTAAATCTTATTCTGTACTAGTGATGTGCTGAATCGATAAAAATGTATATGTATATAATGATCTAAATGTCTAAATACGGATATATGTATTTTTTTTTCCATAATCTGTACCGCTACAAGTGGTCTTTAAACAATACTTAAAGACACTTGACGGCGTCTATTTTTAATTTAATATTTGTTTATTACCACTTTACTTCAGTCAAGGACGGTCCTATCTACAATATTTTATCCTACGTCTGAATCAATTAAAAAGAAAAATAAGAAGATTTTCTTACCCATTCCATATTATTCCGATACGATTACGGATTCAGCACATCACTATTCCAGACATACAATTGTTTGTCGTTGGTCTTACATATAGTTATTATTAGTTTGTTTGTGATTCTATTTATCTGATTTTTTTGTCATTATATACACTCACACCACAAATTGTTCACTTATGTATAAGCACAAAATTGATCTGAGAATTGTATGTCATTGTTCACAATTGTTGTATTAACGATAATAACAAATAAACATTGAGTTGTAAGTTAATGGATGGATATTTTTATGGGAAAAATAAACTTCTAAACTCATTTGGTCTATAAAATTTATTTTGCACATTTTACATTTGCAACTACCAAATTAGTTGTACTTTTGTATGGAATTTTAATAATGTATACTTTATTATTGGCTATGTATTTTATAGATAATATATTACAATTTTTGCTTTATTTCTGCTTCCTACTAGTCACGCAGATTTGATACGAACAACTCACTTATATGGATAAACTTATAACATTTTTTTTTTGTACTTAAGTTGTATTTAATTATTGTAACTCGGTATAGATAATATATTTATGATGTAGATAATAAAATAGCTTTTTTTTAGTGGCATTTTTGTTTTTTTAATTTATTCTTATGTTGCGATATTCGGCAGGTAACTTACCTCGCAGCTTTGTTCCTTATTTTGCACTCCTGCAACATGTATACAATATGGCGGACATTACGAAAGAAAACTCAGGGCGGGCGAAAACTTCGCTACAAATTGCGTGCGATCGCTTACAGATTGTCTAATGAGCTAGCTGTTTTGGTACGTTCCATTGATAAATACATGTGGCTATTGGGACTGTTTCTGAATATATATATTACGTATTTTTGAATATCCGTAAGCTTTATAATGTACAGTTTCTATTATGAATCAAGCTAGACAGCCGCTAAAGCCGAACGTGTCGAACTATTAAAATTTCCATAAATTCTCTATATGTATGAGATTTGTATGTTGTTTTTGATGGGTTTAATTAAATGTTTTTTTATAATGTTGCTGTAAATATAATAAATCAATCGATGAGAAAAAAAATCGAGAAAATCCAGCTTTATGACAACCAACCTAAGAAGCTGATAAAATTTAAAAAAAGACTTCGAAATAGGTGCGTTATATTTTGCAATTTTTGTGTTGTCTTTGTGTATTTGTCTTATTGTTCGTGCTTTTTATTTATTTATGGGTGTTCCAAAGTTCTTAGTTTGCTTTTTGTGGGCTGTTGATTATTTATATGTAGATTTATGTAATACTTAGCTCCGAAACTACTTATATTTTTCGTTAACACTAAGCATGCGCATGTTATAATAAAATCAGTTTTATGAATTCTTTAGTTAAATGTATTGTTATTTAAATAAACTATAGTATATTTTTTGTGTTCCATACTGACATATTTGTTGATAATATTTTTTTGAAATCATTTAGAAACTTGTTTTCAATTGTTTGAATGATTGCAGGATCAAAAATGGCGGCAAAATAAAATCGAAGCAAAGAACTGATGAGGATTTTAAGTGACGATGAAAAATATATATCACCTTTATATGTGATTATTATACTATTTATATTTTGGTACATTAAAGTATTTCTAGTATCGGTATTAACGTTACTAATTATGTGATTTATATGTAAATAAAGAAATAAACAAATCTTTTATCTTTTGCGATTTAATACCCTCTATGTATTTAAACTCTTTTTTGAAGACAAAAAAAAATTACATTATTTAAATAACTCAGGAACAAATATTATATTATAAAGACCTCTTAGCTTACACATCGGTAAATAATATATCTACAAATATTCTAAGTTTTCAATACAAACATTATGTACAGTTACACATCCAATTCTCTTAATAGTGAAGTCAGCTTGTAAGTCATAATAGATTATGTGAAAAAAACATTCATATTTCAAGTAAAAAGAAAAACAAACGATTAACCTTTTTTGTTAAAGATATAAACTTAATTAAGATGACTTCTCAATAAAATTGTTTAAGATATTTTTAAGAAAAAAAACCTTTAACTTATTTAACGATAAACTTCTGAATCACTTAAGGTTTAGGAATTCAATGAATAGTCTAATTAAGTTGAGCTACTTCACAACACAATATCTATATTGCAAAAGGTTATACATACTTCAGAAATAAAAAAGATCAAGTTCATAATTTTCATTACTGACTATTTCAACTTCACTTTCTATTGCTGGGTAATTTAAACAATTTTGACAAATACGTTCCATTTTTCTAATTTATATATTATAATATTTCAAAACACCTCCGTATGTACAAACATAATTATCACAAAATGTAAATATTTTTAAATTGTAATTGGCATGACATAACTATTTTAGCAAATATCATAAACAAAAAGTAAAGGCGAGTGATACAATGGCAAACAAAAATATTTTAGGACAGAGAGTGTTAAAATCCGACAAAGGTATTTTAACATATGACCTATTATTCAGTCGTATGAAAGGTGATGATATTAATTTTCATCATTTTTCACTTTCATCACCGTCACTCTCGCTGTATGAGTTCGTTTGTTCACTGTATTCTTCTAACCGCGGCTTCTTTATCAACAGTCCTTGTTTCTGTAACTTCTCCAGAGCCTCTAAGGTGTTTTTGTTAGTAGAAGTCACTTCACTCCTTTCTTCAACCTTATTGCTGGAATTCGTTTTGACAATCTTTAAGCCGGAAACATTGCTCAGTTTGCTGAGATGTTGTTGTGAACTAGTGCTGGTTTCGGATTTCATTGAAGTGACACCGGTTTTTCCTTTGACGGTTTTAGTGACGCTGGCGTATTTGGTCTGGCTCTGAGAAGCAGAGTATTGGGTCGTTGATTCATCATCACTGTCCGGTCCATCATTGTGAAATATCCCGGAATCTTTCGGTTTCTTGAAACAACTGAAATGCGCGACTTCCTCCGACGGTCTTTTAACAGTCTGACTGATCGCGTGCGGGGAAATTTTTAATTTTCCTATAGCAGGTCTTTGTGGTATAGATTTTTGGGGGATAGGTCTTCTTATCGCAGACGGACTTGGTAGTGAGGGTCTGATCAAATTGGACGGTCTCATAGGAACCACTTGGTTTGAAGGACGCACCATCGGTTTCGGTGATCTCACCGCAGTGCCCGTACTTCTGATTTTCGTTCCCACCGTTGGTGTTATTTGCCTGATCGTTGTTCCTTGGAATTCTCTGCCAGGTTGGGGAAGTCTATTTATGATTTTCTGAGGTCTCACTGTAGGTTTGGGAGTGAACTGGCTGGTGCTTTGTACTTCTTCATTGGTGGATTGATTAACTGTTCGTATTGTTTTAGTGACGGTCGTCGTGATTTCCTCTATAATAGTTTGCGATTGGAACCTCTTCACAGTTTTGGTTACTTGGTTTGATGATGTAGAAACTTTTTGGTTGAACGACTGGCTCATAGAACCGCCGGTCGGCTGCGAGGTCTTATTGGTCGGTTGATCGTTGGTCGCGTTCTGTTTGAATTGCTTCAGCACGAGTTCCTTACTAGTGTTTTTAGTTTCTTCATTGACATCTTTGTGGCGGGAATGATTTGAACCGTCGTCATTATCACAATTTTTCGTTAGTGATTTAATTGTGAGTTCCTTGTTTAAATTCAGGCTTTCTATACCTGATGCTTTCTTTGACGGGACATCATTTTGTCTGTTTAATGGAGATGATTTTGAAGTTTCGTATGTTTTATCAGCTAAGTCTTCATCAATCTCTCCCTGGTCGCTGTGAGTACCTTTCGGTGACTCAACCATAGCGTTCGTATCGTTTTCATTTCCCTCTCCATCTGTTCCCGCGTCTTCCTGGACCTCAGTAATCCTCACAGCCCCTTCTTCGTCCGTCCCACTATCAAAATCTTGTTCATCGTTTTCATCGTCAGCGTCACTTATATTTCTATCTTTATTTATCGGCGATGAGTTTCTCGATTTCACCGTTATATGACTTCCGAAGTTGTTGAGTTTGTTTTGTAAATTGATACTCTTCTGTATTTCCGGCGTCTGCTTGTTGAATTTTGTATAATTCTCGAAATTACTTTCGGCTCTATAAGTCGTAACTTTCGAGTTTGTCATTTGACTGCTTTTCACGGTGATATTTTTGCTTAAACTTTTCAAGGCATCCAATGGCACATTATTCTTTTTCGCTTCCTCTGAAACTGTTTCCGTTTGCTCATTGTCGTCGCTGTCGGAATCGTCAATATTAAAAACTTCAATTTCCTCGTAAATTTTTCCCTTTTCCTGTTTAATATTTGTACTTGAGATATTTTTATTCATTTTATTAGGTAACTGCGTGTTCGCTTTACTTATAGGTTTAGCTGTGACATTTGTGAGACGTTTCAGTATATTCAAATTTGCTATTTTTTTAGGACATAGCTCACTTTTAATGTTTACGTCTGGTGGTTTATTAGAAACTGGAATATTTGTCTTCGTTGAGGTTGGTGTTGAGGTCCTTTCTGTGTGAGGTGAATGTACTTGTTTTGGTGTGTTATTTTTATTTGTACCATCGTTGTTTTGTGATAAATCTTCATCATCGTCGATATCACTATTCGGATGACCGTTCTCACTTTCACCATCTGATGCATTATTCGTATTAACTGATGGAGATTTTGGCGTTTTTATTGTTATTTGTTCCGATAAATTTCTCAATGGTTTATCTAATTTAGTTTCTTTTGCAACTTCTACAGTTTCTTTGTTCATATTGTTAGATTCGCTCGTTTTCTGAACATTCTTGTTATTTGTCACAGGTTTCACGGTTAGCAGATGACTTAAATGTTTTAAAGCGTTTAAAGTTTTTAAAGCTACATTATCCACTTCTTTTTCGGTGTCATCTTGGTTTTCTTTACTATTAATACACGAATTGGTAGAATCATTTGATATATGATCTTTATTTTGATTCTGCTGAAAATTGTCAGATTCTTCACAAATATTACCGTCGTCTTCTGTAATCTCATCTGAATTATTCTGTGCTGATGTTATTGGTTCCGTATGATTATCTTCTTTTACACTACTATTTGACTTTGGTATTGTCACACTATCTAAGTCATCCTCTTTACAATGAGTACTTTCCCCTTCTTCTGAAACATCTTTGACATTACTACTTTCTATGTCAGTATTGTCATCGACAACGCTATTATTTTCATCTTTGGCTTCATTTTCAACAGATCTATTTAAATCGACACCTTCGTTGATATCTTTATCTACTCCTACATCAGGAGATTTAATTGTTGATTCTTGTTCATTACTTTCAATAATATTCTGCGCTACATTCTGCGGTACGGTCTTTTTAACAATTTTTATCTGACTATTTCCCTGATTCATTAATTTCGATATAATTTCGTTTGGAGAACTTGTTGAATTCACTTTATTTCTATTGCTAGTGATGGGTGTACTAATTTTTGTCGGCACATTCTTAATATTGGCCACAACAGGGTTGGCGGTTTTCGTTTTAACTGTAATGCCGATTTTCTTCAGTTTAGCTAGATCTGCATTCACAACCTTATTCATGACTTTCTTAACTTTAGGTTTTTTCAGTACGAAGGGCGTCGGTACTTCCTCAATTCCCTGTACATCCAGACCGTCACCAAACACGTCTTTATTCATGTTTAAGAACTCGTCTAGTGTTATTGCTGATTTTTTTGATTTCTTGTGCTTTTTATGTTTCTTTACTTTAACTTTTTCCGGCTCCTCAGATTCTCCCATAACCAGTTGAAGAAAACTGTCCTGTAAGTGAGAATTTATATATAACTCGATCTAACAGGAATTAACTTATTAATGGGTAAGTGACAAAAGTAACTAACAATTCCTTCTTCGTTCATATTATCTTCAGGTTGTTGGTCATCTTCCACTTTCTCCATTATCGGTGGAACTGTTTCCAATGAGAACTCTGTTACTCCTTCAGCACTGAAATATTAACCAGCATATTATAATCTGATATTTGATTACTATTAAATACAATTATATTAAAAAAAATACTGTTCTATGTAGATCTGTTCTATCTACATTAATGTAGATAGCTGATATATTGTCAATTAACATAAAGTGCATAAATATGCTGTTAAGAGAGCGTTCAAGTATTACGTAACGCAATTTTCAAAGATTTTTCAACCCCCTTCCCTCACTTATAACGCACCGTAACGTTTTTCTGTTCTCCCCACCCCTTCTCTAAATGTAACGTAATACTCAAGTGATCAATTTCATCTTAAAGTCGTAAAAAATTATGTAATATTTGGGTATAGTTTTAATCTACAAATAAAATAAGATCACTGATACAAACTTCCCTCTTTTGAAGAAATTACAGTATGAACACTATGAACTCCAGGATAAACACTAACGAATACAGACCATGGAACCAACATTAAACGACGTATAATGCAATCTAGGTATTCCGAGTAAAATATAAATTAAGAGGTTTGCAAACTTGCGAGAACAAATTAAAAATGTACATAATGTAACATATATGAAAACGGTTGCCAGTTTGGGGGTTTTAGTTTATTAATTTTTTAAGAAACAATGCTACGTAACGTTTTGTAAGACACACCGCCTCCCCCGCAGATTGCATTACTTCATACATGAAAGCTCCCTTGTAATAGGGAGTAAGTTAAATAACAATTACAAACATTTCATTCTTTTCGCTGTACAAGTCCTCAGTAGTATGGAATGTCAGATGAACTTCAAATGCGTCTAAATGATAGAAGATAGCTTCGCACAGCGGACACCTCAACACCTCATTCGGACTTTGCTGTTCATCAGCATGATCATCACCCATATGTTTCTAGAAACACAAATATTATTATATTTTTTACAGTTTTTCCAAATAATCTGGATATTTATATATCACTTTGTGCAGTAAAAGTTGCTACTTTAATTTAAATTTGTTTTTAGTAAATATTAAAGCATTTCAAAATAATTTTCTGATGAATAATTAAGTAATATATTAAAAATCATTAATCAAATGATTAAATTTGTACACATTTCATAGGTTCAGTTTATTTTATAAACTAATTATTTATAATAGACATTTATTTTATTAGTTTCTGTTATCTCACAAAGCTTATTAACAGATAAAATTTTGTTTGAAACTATATAAGTTATAGGAGAGAGACAGTAGTTATTTCTTGGTACAATAAGTTAATATAAAATATTTCTTTTTTTTATTCAAGTATTTTTAAATATAAAACTTACATGTAGATTAATTTTATTGTTATATTCTTCACCACAGAACGCACAATAGAATATTTGTAGCAATTCCTGAAAAGAAATGACGATCCAAGTTATATAAGTGCTTAACAGATTTAAAGAAACTTAATAATAATGTATCTCATATGTTATTAACAGGAAAAACCTAAGACAAGTATAATTACAATATTTATGTTCAGATATAAAATAATATTTTAACATCTAGTTTATCTCACAAGATTTATAATTGAACTTTTGACACTACAAAACATTGTGATTTGTATTATGATACACAAATATTGAATGATTAAAATTATATCTTTATATAAAAAACTATATCAACATTAATAGTATAGTGAATGTTAAAATAGGAGAAATATTACTTGTAAATTAATTCAAATATATAACATTTTGTTACCTGATTGTATAGCTTTACTTTCTTTGATTGACCAATAGCTGGCAGTTCCGAGTCTTGCCGGTGGAAGAATTTATTGTGATACAGCATTGCTGGTGCTACATAGAATGCAACTTCACAGCATTCACAATAAAAATCTCTTGTATTGTTTGTGGGTTCGCCATTGTGATTTGTTTGTATGTGCTTATTGAAAAGATGCTGAAAATATAGAAAAAATTACATCATGATATGTATTAACACTCCAATACACCAGGAACGACTAATGAATAGTATTAAACATTTGAATCATGAACATAACAAAACATATTAATCAAATAAATGTATAGAGAGACAGTGGTGGCCTAGTGGTTAAAAGTCCCGCCTCTCATGTAAGAGGGTGCAAGTTCGATCTTGGCAATTACCAATGTGATTTTCCGAGTCATATGTACTTTCTAAGAGTATTTAGACATGACTGATTAATGCATTCCTAAAGAAGGTTGATGTCAGGCAGGTGCCCGGTCGTAAAAACAATTAGCCAAAACTATTCACAACATGTAAGGCAGACCCTGGCTTAAGCTAGGATATTGCCAGGTAGAAGAACAAAAGGTATAGAGACCAAAAATACTTATGTTTAAAAATTTGTTTGTACCTTCATTGTAAAGACTTTGCCGCAGAATGAACAAAAGTATTTTGCATCATGGTCTGGATGTACTTTATGTTTATGAGTTATTGCTTTAGATATAGTCGGGAACACTTCCTCACATACATCACATCCAACCATTTCATTTTCCTCTACCGGTTTCTCAGTACTCGATTCTTCATTCAATGTGCGCCCTTTTGACTTTGATATTTTATTAAATTTTGGATCCCCGTGTTTTCTGTAACGTAATTAATATAAATGTAATATTACACCCGGTTATATTCGAGTTTAAGATTTGATATTTTATAATTATATTTTAATGATACCTGAAATGTATTTGTAAGGCCTCTTTATCATCGAATGTCTCTTTGCAAAATACACAATCATATTTCTGTTCTGTCGTCATTGTGAAAAATGTATAAATTGTTTTATTATAAATTTTTATTTATTAGCTTATAAAGCGTCCCAATTTTCGCTTTATAACTTTATTAAAACTAAGTGTCACCATTCTCATTTAGGTCAGTTATATTCGCCATTTAATTCTGTTCTCATTAGTTTTATTATAAGAAAACTTAATATTATATTTAGTTTATAAATAACAATCTAAACTTCAACACCACAAACATAAAATTTAGCCAATACAAGCCATATTGCCATTTCCAATGTTGCCAGTTGCGACGTAAAATAAATATAATGAAAATTATTAGTTATAGAGTAAAATATAATTTAAACTGTACATAGTTTTACTTTTTTATTTAAATTCTTCTTTTTGATCTTACAGATCCTTGTTTAAGTTATTGTTTTAATGGCAAATAAATCATGGTATTGTTTTTGTATAAATTTTATCATTGTAAAATACACTATATTATTTATACTTTTTACTAGGACAGTTTTATTTATACTTAATAATCAATATTATAAATAAAATTAATCCATTACCTATTACGAGGTCACTTGGGAGGCCGAACGGACAACAGTCATTGTTGTTGATTAATGACACACATAAAATATACAATTATAATATAATATACTTAAGAGTTCCAGCCGCGAAATCCACTGAAAATAAAATGTATTTTTAAAGACTAATACATTAAATCTGTTTTATTTTATCCATTCTTAATTAATCAAAAATATTAAAAAGTTTCTTTAAAATCATTTTTTAATTGTTTACTCTTTTTGAAGTCAATAGATAAAGAAAAACTGTACATTGTCACTTATAAAATGATTCTAAGTACACAGCAGATATGAAGCGGCTTTGTGTCACTGATTTCGATTCATAATATAAATAATTTATACAAAGAATATGAAGCCATACCTTAAAAATTAAAAAATATAATATATAAAGAATATTTATCTTGTGACAAACATCTTTTACAGTTTGACAACTCACAACTCAGTCAACAACACACAATATGACAGCCACAATAAGCGTTATCAACATATTTCTAATCGTCATTAAATAAAGAAAAATGAATTACATAAGGTGGCAACCAGAGGTTCCACGAAAACTACGAAACGTACTTATTTGTGTATAAGAATTACATATTAAAATTTATATCCTATGCCTAAGACTACAGGATTGCTGCGATGTTAGGACAGCAATGCTATTCTATGGCTTGTGTTGTATCAGGAATCTTCTGGTTCACACGGCTTGGTGTTCTATAGGTGGAGTCAGCAATGTCACTCGTAATATGATATTTAATCCGTACGACGATGTTGCTCCGACGATGTTTTGGAGTACTTTCTTAAAGGATAGTAATTATTTCATAAGATCCAATAGGAATAGTTAGAAGCTTATTAATTAGAATTTTAAAGTTGTGAAACTCACTACACGTAAATTTATTGTTTTATTCAATCTGCCGATCTAGTATCGATCAATCAGAGCGACAGCCAAAATATTCAAATAGATTTGTATTACTATTAACTTTCTAATTTATACAAGTGTAATGAGGAAGCTGATAAGCAAAATGCTCGCGTTTTGTAATCAGTTTTAGGTGGAAAATTTCGATTTTCCTTTCAGGCCTCTTTGATTTCTAATTAATCGAATTATAAATAATCCAGTAGGTATACTTTTACACACTTAAAACTACCTCTTTATATTGTTTCACATAATTGATTAATAATTTAGTAATTAAAGTTATCACTCGAATTATCACCGATTTTTTTAGATCCAATCAAATGTTAATAACTATACCATTATTATATTTTTATGTGTTAAAATAAACATAATATTTATAAAAAGTAAGTTTATCTAGTTTAAAGGTTGAAAAAGAAACCTTATTCAGAAAAAATAGTATCGGTACATACGGAAAACTATTTTATTTTAAACTCTTTTAACGGAGCTATTGCATAAAATATTATAGGTTATAAATAGATTTATATCTATATAATATACAAGGTACAATGTTTTGATATCATCATTCGTTGTTAAACATCAGTTGTCGCCGGTTGTGACTTCGTACGGACGTGTTGTGTCACAGGTTATTATAAAATACAAAGTTTACGATAGGTAGTTTGCATAGTCAGTTATAGATTTTAGTAAAACATTCGAAGTAGTTCTCAATAATTATTATTAAAACAAAAATATATTCAGTTTTGATCGCTTCTCTAATCAATTTGACCTTGAAGTTTAATCAAGTTTAAGTTGTGCTAACTGTAGCTATATATGTGTTTTATTTATCTTACATGTCCGTCCACTGTGTATACCGAAATTCTTGTTGCTTTTGTAGGATTTTTCTGATATAAAATGGCTAGTACTGTACCATCGACGATTGCGAGGGGCCTCTCGTCAGGTGTGGCTAACAGAATAATGGCTAAAAAATACGTACTTACCAAACACTTTGAAGGAGAGCCTAAGAAGAGCGATTTTATTGTCGTTGAAGAGGAACTTCCTCAATTGAAAGATGGAGGTAATGTATTATGATTTTTATTTAATATTATAGTAATGAATACGTCAGTAGTCTTAAGAGACAATTAATAAATGATCACTTTCTGTTACCGGCGACTGTAATGTATAATTTACAACTACATATTAAATATTACATGTAGTATTTTTTTAATGATAAATTTGAGAAAAAAATAACATTAAATAATAGGCATATAGAAAAAAGTACACAATTTTTATATTAATATTACAAACACATTCTATTTTCTCTATCTAAATCAATCTATAGATAGGGGAATAGATGAGGAGATTAAATTATAAGAGATAACAATTTTGTCATGACTTTTGTTTTTTTAATCAGCAACAAAAAATAGGTATATTATGACCGACTATGTATATTTTATGTTAATGAGAAAAAAATATACCAAATAGTTCTTTTTTGTTTCGAAATAAATTTTCGATGAATATATACATAATACAAGAATACTTAAAAAAATATGCAAAGTCATCCATAACATGCAAGTTTCGTTTTTCCGGACCAAAGTTCAAACGTATAAAAACTTAATAAGACCATATATCATAATTATTGTGACAGACGCATCTTATTGTTGACATAAAAATATTGTTTGAGGGAGACGATGAGATCATTGTATCTAATAATATAAATATGCTTTTGTTATAAAAACTTTAATGAGAGTTCTCGTTAAATAGTTTTTTTATTTAATTTCAGAGATTTTAACTGAAGCTGAATACTTGAGTGTTGATCCTTACATGCGTGCATATATGATACGTTTTAAAATGCCAGCCGACATGATCGGAGGACAAGTGGCTAAGTGAGTTATAATAATAAAGAATCTCTCATTTACTTTTGATATGTGTATTTTCAGTTTGGCATAATTTAATGAGATCTTAGCATTAATTTGATTGCTTATTTTCACACTGGCAAGACCAAGCCAGATCGAAATTATATTTTAGATGCGAAATTGCAAAGAGATTATAATGTTTAGTTATAAAAAAATCTTTTTCAGGGTTATTGAAAGTCGTAGCTCTAAAGTACCAGTTGGTAGTTATGTGACTGGTTCATTTGGTTGGAGGTCCCATACTGTTTATAATTACGATAATCCAAGCGCCGATCAACAACTGCCAGTCCATGTTTTACCCGATTTTGGTCCGTATCCTGTTTCACTTGCGCTAGGCCTTCTTGGGATGCCAGGGTTAGTTATATTATAATAATTAATTATTAAAATAATATAAGATTTATTAACAATAAACAATAATCAACTATATGTATTAAATGTAAAAATATCAAAAATTCAATAGCTTCAATTGTGAAATCTCAAATCTCTCCATTTATAATGTGTATTTATTTATAAGAAATATAATATGGAAATATTACAATGATTGTATCACAGTTAAACATTATAATAACATAAAAAGTAATATTTTATAGAATGTTTGACGTTTTTTTTTCAGAAATACGGCATACTTTGGTTTAAAAGAGTTATGCCAACCCAAAGCTGGTGAGACTCTGGTAGTGACGGGCGCGGCTGGCGCTGTTGGTTCTCACGTGGGACAGATTGGGAAGATTTTGGGTAAAATTTTTTAATCATTACTGTTGTGTATGACATATAATGTTATGGGTAGTATACGAAAACTTCTCATACAAACCTTTTGATAAGAACGATTCCAAATTTAATTTGACATTAGGTACTGTTTTATTGCAATAAGAAAAAAAATTAACGTTTGGCTGCTTGATAACATTTTGCAATTCTAATTAATAAAAAAAGAAAATAATAATAAAGAACACAAAAATTAAGATCGGAATTTTAAACGTGAAATTTATCGTCATTTAGAACTCAAAATGTGTATTCCAGGTTGCCGTGTCATTGGATTCGCGGGCTCTGACGAGAAATGTCAATATTTAAAGAAGGAATTGGGTTTTGATTACGCGTTCAATTACAAGACAGCCAACATAAGGTCGGCCTTAAAGGAAGCAGCTCCAAATCGTGTCGATTGCTACTTTGATAATGTAAGTAATATTCTTAAAAATAAATTTAAATAAATATTATTATTGGTCAAGAGAGATTTAAAAATAATTAATCTTAATATAATGTAGGTGGGAGGTGAAATCAGTTCTATAATAATGAGCCATATGAATAAATATGGTAGAGTGGCTGTCTGTGGTTCTATTTCGTCCTACAATGATACAACTTTGCCTAAGGGTGAGTATACATACAGTAAATATTTAAAAATCTTTTTATCACTTTTTAAACATACATTAAATATTTTAAAAAAATCACTTTTTTAAACGTTTTCGTTTAATATTGGAATGTAAAAAATGTATTTCTAATTACATTTTGATGTTCTTCCAAATAAATTTTTCATTTTTATTTTAGTTTCAATAGTCCAGCCTTCAATCGTTTTTAACGAACTTAAGCTCGAAGGATTTATAGTTAGTCGTTGGGCTAACAGATGGCAAGAAGGTATTATGGCCAATCTGAATTGGTTGAAGGAAGGTAAATTGAAATATCAAGAGAAGGTTTACCATGGATTTGACAACATGGTGGATGCCTTCGTGGGTATGTTAAGAGGAGAGAATACAGGGAAAGCAGTTGTGAAGGCCAAGTGAAAACAATAAATGACTTAAAAATACCAAATTTCTATCATTTAATACCTTTACATATATAAAATATTCACAGAATCTTAAAAAGTTATTTAACGATATTAATAAAATATCATTGACATTTGTATGAAGGTAACAAATAATATTTAATTGTAATCTTTTATTTGAAATGAGTAACACTTCTATAATTACAACCCAATGTAGATACAAATTATATGTATATTAAATTTTAAGTATTTTGTTAATGTTATAAAAGTATATTTTTTTATCATATTCGAATAATAAAAATTAAAACTTTTTATTTCATGGTGGCAATAAATAAGTAAACGTCAAAGTCACTGCAAATATTCTGTAAGTTATTTGTGTAAACTGATTGTCTTATAGACCGGGCGCTGGAGAGAGTTGAGTATGCAAAATATGAGGACCGCATTCTGTGAATGGTTTTGAACTCAGAAAAGCATGCTGATTATGAATCTGGATGTTGCCAGGAGCCATATTTGTCCAATTTTTTTTTTACACACCACCCCCTCAAACATCTAGTAAATGGACTGAACACATACTTTGATTTGATTATAACGATTGTTTTAGTGAGAATATCCAATTAATTTTGATGATTAAAGATACTTACAACCAGTCAAATGAAAAAACCATAGGAAAATTAAAAATAAAAATAATTATTATTGTCACAAAACCAAAAATTCAAAAAAAACAAATTTTAATGCTTTATAAATGGAAAAATTATAACTATATTAAGGAACTTCGTTCGATTTTTTAAGAATAAAATAACAGTAAGACATTTGACAATTTGACTATGCGATATTAATTAAAATGAACAAATATAAAAGGTAAATAAAGGAATAAAATGATGAACTGCTAACTATAGTTAAACAACAATTAAAGTACTTACAGAGTAATATCCTTAAAATAGCCTTAAACTAATTGTTAACACAATATTAACAGTTAAAATCCTTGAGCGATGTCGCCTCGACGATGGACCACCAGAAAGTGTGTCAATGTTTCTTTTGCGCACTGCTTCTATTTTGTTTCTTGTCCAAGGAGTTCCTAACTCTATTATCAATCTTTTTTTATTCTGACAATCGTTATTTATGCATTTGCATATTAAAATACAATAAATATGTAATTTTTTAGAAGAGGAAGTCATCGTTTTACAATTCCATGCTCAATTACACGGTTGAATTAACAATATCGGCAGTGGTTGCTTGGTCATTTGTCGTGGATACAATTTACCATCCTTCCTTTCATAGCCTAAGAAGGTGTAATCAGTGAAAGTTCCAACAGTGAAAGAATTTTTCAAATCGGTACAGTAGTTTCGGAGCCTATTCGAGACAAACAACCAAAAAATCTAACAAAAATCAAATCTTTATAATATTAGAATAGATAAATAATAAAGTAATGAGTAATTAATAAGTTATGAGGTAGTTGCGAAGTATTATATGTACTTGTGTTTTGTAATCAGTTTTCGATGAAATTTCAATTTTCATTTATTGGGTTAATTTAAAATGTAAAGTATATCTCTACACACTTATTATCTTTACATATAGTTGACTAGCTCTGCCAGCCACTTCGTCCGCGAGGAATAGTTTTTTGCATCATTTTTATTTTTGCAAACAACCTCCTCAGCTTTATAAATAATATGTAGTTGTTACCCGCCACTTTGTCCGTATCAATATCTTTTATTAATTTTAAAATAATTTAGTTTTTAAAATATGTATATCAACAATATGTGAATCACCAACATAATTAGGTGAATTTTATATCGGAGTTATTTTAAAATTGTAATATATTCTATACCAGTGTCGATACCTTTTATAACAAAAAAAAAAAATAGTAGTATCAAAATCTATCAGAAAAGGAGGGGAATACTATAAAAATCAAAAAAATAATAATTTAGATCGATGTGAGGTCGGGAAGTGTTTGGGGAGGGGTATTTAAGGAAAAAACGGTTTTTCTCGATTTTTGGCAAAATTTAAAGTCCCATGGAAAGAAGTTATATGACAAAGCTGTAGCTAATAAAAAGATCTAAAACTTTTGTATTTACATTTTATTCACAAAACCTCAAAATTTATGTGAGAAATAAAAAAAACAAGGTTTTTGGTTTTATATTTTTATCTTTCACAAAAATTACCTTTTCTTCACGAAGTTTTGTGAAAACGTGCCTTTTTATGTCCCAGATACGCCGTAATTTATTTGATTCGAAATATTTATTTTTTCAGCTTAATTTGAATAAATATCCAAAAAGCGCTCATTGTCAAAAATGGTATGTTTTCTATTCGATGAAATCTCTATTTTCCGATGGTGAAGAAAAAATTTAAGTTTCTAACTTACAGTACCATTTTTGGATAAAGTAATCATGACCCTTTTAATGAGATAACGCTCGATATCGATTTGAAAATGCTCTTTCAATTTATTTTTTATAATTACAGTACAGTAATACCCCGCTTTACGCGAGGGATACGTTCCGAAGAAAATCGCGTTAACTGAAATTCGCGTATATCGAGGTTTATGATTAAACACAATCAAAATTTAATATACAAATATAAAAATCATTTTAATCAATTACTTTAATTCTAAGAACACTATGCAATACATAAGTACTCCTATTTTTTACGAAAAAATACATGTATTGTCTTTTGGGTAGCGTTTTGTTTACGTTCTTGTAAAATAAGTTCATAACACCCAACACTGTTTTTAATTGTTTGACACACGGTCAAGGCGCGGTCATCATTATTATCTATACTCTGCAATATGTCCAAATCTGAATAAATTTTTGAAATTCGCGTTATAGTGAAACCGCGTATAACGGGGTCGCGTTAAGCGGGGTATTACTGTAGTTTAATGTCAATTTTCTGTAAATTAAATAACAGAGGGATGTTCAGGAGATATGTCAGACTACACAACTACAAAAAAAATAATTGTAATTCTATTAAAAGCCTTCCTCGATAAATGGTCTCCAAAAATTTTTCAATTCGAAACAGTAGTTCCAGAGGTTAGCGCTTTCAAACAAACAAACAAAGACTTCAGCTTGATAATATTAGTATTTTTAGAAATTAAAGAAGAATAACATTTAAATAAAATCTAGTGACGCATATTACAATTATTTATTGGTACGTTACATAATTTTACTTCAAAAAAAAATGCAATATCAAAATTTGTAATTAAGAAACACCCATTAATTACCACATTTAGAAATTTATTGAGTGTACTCTGAAAACTACTCACTGCAAATAGCGGCGATACCTTACTAAGAGAACCATTCCGTACGAAAGCCAACAGCCAATGACTTATTCTTTGAAATACATACCTTTCCTTTTTATAGTATTTGTATGGTAAGATTTCTAAATACAAAAAAATATTCCTAATTATCCTAACACGGCCTCTTCTGACTGTGCGTCGACCCAAAGCACGCACCAGCAACGTTTTCTGAGCCAGGCAAGGAGTTTACAGGCACTGATGATGGTCCTGCAATCTCATTATAATCGTACCCGTCTTTTGAAACTGAAAATTGTTATCTGTTTAACTTGGTATTTGCTACATGTTGCCTACACTTTCATACTTCACGCTATCAAGGCCCTCTTTCATTGGTTCATACAGATATAAAAAATTCTGTGGTCATTTCTAACGAGCATCTAATACATTTGTCTCCATTTAATTACATAATAGTATTCCTATACATCACAAGCAACACATATCCTTGGATATATCTACCTGATCGTAGTACATACGTGTAACAACGAGACAGAATCTATAGGTACATGCGTAGCGTATCTACCGAGGAAATGCCAACACATCACAAGAAATGCTGTCCCTGATTGCTACCAGATTATTTCCTCAGCTCTGTTCTTTCGTGTCGTGGCAAAGCCTCGTAAAATTCATACATCTTTACATTCTGGAATGCACCTAAAAGCTGTAACACAAGATTTTTTTTTACACAACAAATGACAATGCTTAATGCATGCTTAAAACAAAATCATAACTCTCGGGATATCATTTAATAATTTTAGCTTATACAGTCCTCTTGCAAGCACTGCCATCACTCGGTATGGGCCTCTCATTTCTGTGTCAAGTTTTCCGGTGAACCGCGAATATTTTATAACAATCACACAGTCTTTGAACTGAAGATTTCGCGCCATGACTCAAGATGTGTTTGTCCATGTTTGATCAGTACTCGGGTAACGGGAGTAGTCGTATTGGATCAAATCAAAAAATGTAAACCTGACTGAGTGAGTAGTTTGATAAAGTTACTGGGTTTCGTTATCGGCTGAATGTACAATCTGAAAAAAATTAATGGCTTTTTAATATTGTTTACATGTATCTTCTACCTGGCAATTTCCCAGCTATAGCCAGGGTCTGCCTTACATGTTGTGAATAGTTTTGGCTATTTGTTTTTACGACCGGCCGCCTGTCTGACATCAACCCTCTTTTGGGAATCAACATTAATCAGTGATGTCTAAATAGTCTTAGAAAGTACATATGGAAGGCGGGCCCTTGAACCACTAGGCCACCACTGACAAATTTTGTTTACATGCATGTCAGTGGTGAATTCAAAGTAGACTGCATGAGATATCATAACATTTTTTCTGCTTTACGTTTTCTGGTATGAGCGTGACCCAAGCCTTCAATGTTACGAAAGTTTGGCCTAACCTCACTAAGACCAACGTACTTCCCTTGAAGAGTCGTGTACCCACACAGAGAACTCAATAAGTTTAACAATATTAATTTTATAAATCGGATTTAACACATGTGTTAAAAACTGAATATGTTTTGTTCTAATACGAGTAACGCCATCACTGTTAAGCACATCGATTCTAATAATTATCGGTATTATCATATGTGACCTGGACACCACAATAATGTCTATTTCACGCAAGATCTGAACTCAACTGTTAGGACTGACATGACACAAACAATTCCCTTATTAAGTACCTATACCTTTTAGAACACAGTAGGATGGCTTTTGTGGATATGAGAAATGTTTAAATATTTCA